AGTGAGTGAGTGAGTGAGTGAGTGAGTGAGTGAGTGAGTGAGTGAGTGACAGATTCGTCCCCCTCCAATAACTCTTCGATTGCTTCGCAATCTTCGAGTTAAAAACGATTGCATTCAGTCTGGATGTTACTGGACTCTTCATTTTCTGCTCGTGATTTAAAACCTTTGTCGTGTTCTCCCAACCATCCCGTGTTTCTAAGTAAGAATCGGAAAATCTCTTCACTTTTCAGTATTTCCTGCTATTTTTTTCATTATTCAATGAAAAGATCATTAATTTAAAATTGTGCCGTTCGCGAGCGACTGTTGGTGAGCTGTTGTGCTTAAAAACCTGTCGCGGCAAACTGGATACTGACGGAAATATATTACTGGCCAACAATTATCACGGAGATTGAACCAAATGTGACGGTTTTCGGTGCTTTAATTATTGAACGTAAACTGCAATACAATACAATGATATACATGCATGTAATCTAAACACAAGTCACTTAACATGTACATTAATCCGATCATAGTTTTGGAGATATAAAAGTTTTAACAATCATAAGTATAAATGCATGGTAGAGCTAAAAACGTAACATAGGAAAATGTATTACTAACAGTATTATTGGCAAAGATATAAATGGTTATATAAACATACAAAGCATTGCACAAACTTGAACTAAGGTATAAGACTAATACGAGATAAGTGGTCACGTAAACATGTAAAAGGGAAACTTTTTAAAAGTTTAACTAGACGCTTGTAAAGCGTGATGCGGGCTAACTTAGCAAAAGATTTTCAATACAAGATAGAATTGTTTCTCCAATGAATATTGTGACTATGACGTAACTATATATGAAAGTAAAATATGCCGTAGAATACCTAAGTTTTCTTTGCAGTTCAATTCTTATCGTGCACCGCAATATTCTTTTCTGGCAACTAATCGTTAACCTTCAGTGTCTGCTATAATCTTATCATATATCAAGTATCAACCATAATCCTTTTGCTATAGTGATTGTCCTACATTTGCAATGTATTTTGTAATAATATCTATGGAAGCTCTTTACTTCTTGGTTAGCGATATCACATTATTTACATAGCAATGCATTTTAGATGGCATGGGTGCATTCTGAAATTTTGTTTTTATTAGCCTTTCTTCCGTACAAAAGAAATCTAAAAATTGAAGCTAAAACAAAGTTCAATTTCAAAACTTGTACTTTGTCATTTTTAACTAATAAAAACCCCCGATGATATTAAAGCAATTTCTTTGAATTTGAACAATAAAAACATTGTCATTTAAACAGAAAAATACCTTTTGATGTCTATAAATGTGGAAAAAAGCCAGTATTTGAGCTGATTTCATGTTGAAGCTGTACTGAATAATCATCGAGCTGGACTGGTGAGGAAGGCGAGACTATTTTCGATGCAAAATCGTCTTAAAATGATAACTAGCAAGCTTGAAACTTCACAAATGCAATATCCTAGTTCAATTCTTCAATGAGAAAGCTTTTGGTATTTCTTGTTAATAGTTTTTGAGTACTTTTTAACTCGGAGATTGCGTAGCAATCGTAGAGTTATTGGGAGGGCACAGGCTGTCACTAAATAAATAAATAAATAAATAAAGTCTTTTATTTTGAGAGGGTAGCACGTAATAGTCTCKAGACTAATAAACTTGTGGCCCTCTATATATTCACTCACACTCACTACCTCAACATTCATTATTTTACTACACGACACTCCTCACAGCTAGTTTTTAACTCGGAGATTGCGTCAGCAATCGTAGAGTTATTGGGAGGGGACAAGCTGTCACTCGCTCGCTCGCTCGCTCGCTCGATCACTTTCCTGTAAACTTGAGCCTGCGATGTTTTTGTCAGCGGTTATTTATTTAATCATATTAATTATATAAATGTTATTCTACTTACTTCCTCTAGTTGGTCTCCCTGTGCTTTTCGATTAATTATTATTTATAATATTTATATATTCACTTAATTTGGTTACTATAATAACTTCTATAATATTTTTGGCTGCGAAATAAATTTCATGTTCCCACCAGGTTTCGAACCCGCGACCTCTGAATTGAACGCCAAGCGCCTTAACCGATTGTGCCACGGTGACACTTGAAGGAAACTTGGCGTGTTTTAGTAGTTTTATAGGGAGCACCGCTGTTCGAGTCCGGCTTGAGACAGGACATTTTTTTCTTTTTTTCTTTTTGATGTTTTGGAGATTCTCTTTTCTTTTTCTCCTTTTTCTAATAATAACAAACATGTTTCTGCATAAAGTTTTGTTTTTAAGAAATTCTTTTAATTTTTGCGATCGATAAATAAATGGTTCACCATGATGGGTTTCCTGTGTTATATGCTGTGGATTCAATCGATATTTGCCGAAAACAACTGACCCATCGCACTAACTTAAAAACCTGGATTCAAGAGGAGAAAAAATTGTAAAAATTATGTTGTTTGACGTAGAATTGTACCGATTGCAATAAGTTTTGACTGGGTTTTCGCTTCGAGTACGTGTCAACATGGCGTCTCTGCTAAAAGTAGCTTTCACGACCTTATAAATAAACTTCAAGCAATGGACGGTTTCTATTCCGCTTTAGACTTCAAGGTAAGATAATAATGTACAAAGCTTAGCAATGACATACTTAAATCTTAAGTTTATCATATGAATTACAAATCAAACTTTTTAGGCTGTGTCAACCTGCCCGTGAGTATTCATTGTTTTCAAATAATTAGCTTACGTACCGAGACTAAATCATTAATTTCATCGCTAAACCCAACCCAAACCTTACCCTAAACCTAASCTAGAGCTAACCAAGGACTTTTGTAGTAATTCTGTATTTTTTTTTTTCGCAAACGGACATTTTGACTTCCACTATTTACACGGCAGCCGGGCATGTAAGTTGAGACAGACACTTCGAACTTTATGTCGCCGTTGTTAATTTACATGTAACTAAGCTGAAGCTTTTCCTTTTGTAAATTTAGATGTCTCTCTGAACTAATAAGCTTAAGATATTTTTATCAATAAACCTTAATACGCTTAACAGTGATTGGAAGAAAAGCACTGGAATAATTCTGCAAAACTGCAAATCAAGAGCATAAAGAATAATCAAAAGAACAATGTGATTTCATACTTCAACAAAGGAGCTCAAAACAAAGTTATGATATACCAATTCACTTGTTCTTTCAATACATGAAGGCATTAGCTACTCAAATTTTTCACTAATAACTTATCTTATTAGTTAATACTATTTTTTTAATCCAATTAAAATGTTGAATTGCATTTTCCCAATACTGTTCTGATCTTATTGTTCTGATTTTTTATGATCACCTACTGTATTTACATGTTTTTGTAAATAACTTATCTTATAAAATGCTCAAAATGCAGCTGACCATCTTGCAAAAGCAGCTCTTACAATCTCCGAGTTATGTTGCCATTGGCAGCTTGATTTCTCTTTGTGCTGTTATTAAGTGGCTTGACTGTACCTTTACAACCTCTCCAATAACTAATAGAATTAGCCTTTTCTCGTATAAATGTAAAAATCAAATCAAGCTTTGSCCTACTTATTCCTGTATATCGGAAACAGTTCGTTGGAATTGTTGCCTGTTCAATAAAATACCTTTTTTCAGCCTCTGGACTTAATTTTTTAGGTGGTGGTACTTCTAAAGGCATGGGTTCAAATTCAACTTCATCACACTTTTGTGGCAACTCGCCCTCATCTWAAGTGCAGTCTTTTGCAAGTTTTCTTTTTCTTGTAGTTGAAATTCTCACTTTTGGTGGCGGCCTTGCCGGTTTTGAATCTTTTTTCTCGTACCCTCGCATGTAAAGAGTCGGAGTTCGACATTGACCATGTCTATAACCAGCCTTGAAATGATTACTGCATACTTTAGTGCTATATGTTACTTTGAATTTTTCTCTCATGATCGTTTTTCCCCATGAAGTGAGATTTTCTTTTGACAAAGGCGAATAGAACCTTAAAGTCCCAACATGTGGAAGGATAACCTGTTTCTCGTGGTACCTACGATCGTTATCACAGCCCCAAACAGCACAGTGGTCACCGCGAGGCATATTTTAAAGACTGTATATTCGTTGCACTTTTTCGGAGAAACGTACTCAAAACACRCAGATATTCGAGTTAAATAGTTTTATTGCCTAACTGTTGTGCAATTTCCTAAATATCTACACGTAAATGTCCATTAGATACTTGTTCACTTTACCTAATCGATAGATCGAATATGTGTACATTTCACAATACACTTCAAAAAGAATGCGAGTAATTTTATCATCTACAACATATTAAGCAAGAAAAACTTACAAAGACGAAGCATGAACATTCCTTGAACCATATTATATGATTTTCAAACCAAAATTTCCAATTCGAGCGCAGTAAAAAGCACTGAAACCGCAAAGGACATAAACACGACATACATTTCATACCCGAACTCTTCTTGTTTGCCCCCATGCATTGTAAATACCGAGAAGGACTGGGGACCGGCAACTCATTCATTAGCTAGCGCTCGCTCTCAAATTCGGCCCCAAACGGTTTTAAGTGATTTTTCGAGTCATTTGCTGCCACAGAAGCCCCTAGGACTGCATTATTAAGCTCGACTATAGGCGGCAGAGACACTCTTCTGGAAGAAATCAGAGACGGTAGGCGATTTTTCGAAGACAATATCGCCAATACGAAGTTAGCTTTGAATTGCCGACGTTAGAGAAAGGCCGCCTCTCTAGTCGTTCTGTGGCAGATTTCAGAACCTACCAAGGTAAAATTGGCGAGTTTTAACATCCAAAGAATGCAATCGGTGCGATATTTTGCCGGTAGGTGCGAGTGTCGCTTGGCCGACTGAGCTTGAACCACATTTCCCATGATGCAAATCAGTCGCGCAAGTGAGAAGTTTGGGTTTGCTGTGATTGGTGTCGTAAAGGGGACTGTGGCTAGGTCTATAGAGACGTCTACAAAACAAAAATGCAGAAATGCTAAAGATCTGGTATTGGAAATTAAAATTCAAAAAACGTAGAATTTCGATTTTGACTCTAAAACTGAAGACGAAGAGACGTGAATCCCAYMCGTTTCGTGTACACCACAAAGTCGAAATTTAGGCGTTCCCTTTTWTTMAGAGGTTGTTTTTGCCCAGATATCGTGCTTGATGTGAAATATTTTCAACTCTAAGATGGAGTTAAATTAATAGCTGTCGCATGGAGTGCATTTGGTGTCTTCATTTGCGATCTCGGATACTTGCAATTTTTACAAACTTCGGTCGTAAACGACCAATAATGGCCTAAAGCGGACCTCAAAGGGTTAAAAGGCCCTGCTCACAAGGAAAGCTTGAAGACTGGCAACGCTGGAGCATGGCTTGGTTGCTGTGCAATTGTCCATGTCTAACAATGAGAATAGTTTGAAAAATAACTCAATATAATTTATAGTGAAAAACCATTGAAATTAACCATTAAAAAGCGGAACTGAAAGATAAAATAATTTGCATCTAACAGACCTATCAATATTGGCTAATTCACTCAAAAAACATGTTCAAAATACGCGTTTCATAAAATCAAAGTAAACCTAGAATAAAGCTTTTCAACCTGAGAACTATCATCACTCTCTTCAGAATTCTTTTTCGGTTCACATCAGAGTTTAAAAACGCGAGACTCATTTTAAAATGAAGATTCTTCTACTGTTGGTGTTTGTGACTGGTTTGTTGTTAACGGAGTTCGGACGAGCCTCCAAACAAACTGGCAACCAGTTTTCATGCCAGTGCAATTGCAGCAAGAACTCCAAGGTTTTGATTTCATTGATGAGAACGCTGCTAAGCAAGTGTTCAGGAAAKAAAATTCCAGAAATTGGATCATGTCCAAAAGGTAAGGCTTGATTTTYCCCTTTTACTGGAGTCTGGACTTAGTTTATATATATCTCTTATATCAAAAACATCTGTATCAATTCCGAGTTTGGTTTTACACATGGATATCATAAAAAGACTTATTACTGAATGCCTAAGAAGTTATGTCTCTCTTAAAAGGACTCAAAAATGCATGTACGACTTGAAGTTTCCGTCTTAAAACTAAAGCAATTTGTGCTATTTTGATTCCGTAATTAACGAATTTAGCGGTCGCTTTCTAATTGATAGTTCGACACTGAACCAAATCATAAAGCTACAATTTAAGATATTATAGTTCTTTATTGTAAATAGTTATTAAGTTTGTGGATGCAAACATATTGCATTTGTTGGTTAATAGCTCCTAAAAACTGTCAAGAAGTTCTCACGAAATGTGGTGGCAAAAAGAGCGGCGTGTACAAAGTCAATCCTGACGGCAAAGGAGAATTCAAGGTAATATAATATCTATAGTATTTAACAATGATTGTAATTTAATAAATGTTAAATAATGTYATTGATAATGATAACAAACGCGTACTGAYAAAAATCTGAGTAACCTTCTGTTGCCATGCAATTCATGCACATTTTTGTGCCGTGGCATCATTCGCTGTTTGTGCCACATACGAAATGTAGCTCTACGCACTAATTTATGTGTAAAATGATGCTTTTTCCAGGTTTACTGTGACCAGAAGATTGCAGGGGGAGGATGGACAGTCTTCCAGAGAAGAAAAGACGGTTCGGTGGACTTTTACCGAGGATGGGTCGACTATAAGAATGGGTTTGGAGATCTTAATGGCGAGTTCTGGCTTGGTCTCGACAAGATCCATCGATTGACACACCAAACACGAAACCGTCTTCGTGTTGAGATTGAAGACACTAAAGGAAAGAGCGCGTATGCCGAGTACGATTTGCTTGATGTGACCAGTGAACGAAGCAATTACAAGTTAAGTCTTGGAACTTACTCAGGTAAATTAAATGTGCCAGACACGAACTCCTTTATGCCAGATACAAATTTCAACCGCTTGCCATTGGCGGATATTAAAAAACTCATACATAATTAATAAGTTATTAAATAGGCCAATAGAATGAGCCTATTTGCTCGCATGAATATGCGTATTCAATGTGGGATGAAAAGAGTGGTTCACGTTAACCCTTTAACGTCCGCTTTAGGGATTATCGTTCCTTCAGGAACGATGCTTCTAAAAATTACAAGTTTCCGAGATCGCAAAAGAAGACCACCAAATGTACTCCATTACAACAGCTAGTAGTATAACTCTATATCTTAGAGTTAAAAAGATTTCAAATCAAGCGCGATACTTGGGCAAAATGGACCCCTGAAAGATAGGAATGCCCAAATTTCGACTTTTTGGTGCACCAATAAGGCTGGGAATCACGTCTTTTCGTCTCCAGTTTTAGAGTCAAAATCATCTTTTGCAAATCGAAATTCTACGTTTTTTGAAATTGCCCATTCCAGGTCTTTAGTATTTTTGCATTTTTGTTTGGTGGAAGTCCCCACAGATCTAGCCACAGGCCCGTTTTTGAGACCCAGCACAGAAAGCACAGATTTCTCACTTGTGGGTTCGAACTGCATCATGGGAGTAATGTTCAAACTCGACAGGGAGCATCCAACGGTCTTGTTTTCATAGATTTTTTAATTGACAACTCCTTATATGGGGTACATTTAATTTTTTGAAATATCAGTCTCAAAAACAAGTTAAAATACAAAATATAAATCGCGGACGTTAAAGGGTTAAGTGTTTCGCGCATGATCAGTTTGCCCCATTTATATCAAAACTTATTTTTACGGCAATTTGAGTTTCAAATTAGTGTTTGAGATTTTTAAGCCGTTTAAAACACTCGAAATCGAGTTTTATCAGGTATAAAGATTATCTCTCGTGTTTTAAACTATACCAATTCATTCATCTGAAAATCTCATGATATAAAAGAGGATGTCATCCACAAATTAATATTTTCAAAAGCTAATAAGAGTTAAATGATGGCTTTAAATGTTACTACAAAAACAAACAAGACAAAAAAAAGTTAAAAGAAAAGTAGAAAGAAAGAAAAGGAAATGAAAAAAAAAATTGAGAAAAGAATGTGATAAAAAAATCCGCAGTATCTCTGCGCCCCAATGATAAAAGCCATACAAAATATCAACAACGTTAACAATAGTTATAAAGATAAAAATCAACGAGATATTGGTACAAAGCTGTGTTTCCTGCATTTCAGGTACTTCAGGTGATTCCCTGTCCTACCATCGTAATATGGCCTTCAGTACCAAAGATCGTGACAATGACAAGTACGGTGGTAACTGTGCAGCTTCATACAAGGCTGCCTGGTGGTATAAAAGCTGCCATTTTTCCAGCCTTAATGGTCAGTACAAGTACCGCGGTACCATTTCAACCAGTGGTGTGGACTGGTACTACTGGAAAAACAGCCATTATTCCCTTGCAAGAGCTGAGATGAAGATGAGACCGCAATAGAAATGAGCCGATGACGTAATCATGCATGGTAATAACCGCAAAGCACATAAATATAGATAGGTAAAACAGCATCAGTTCAATTTATTGACTGTAACAATAAGCTTTAAAAAAATTAAAAACGATTGCATTCAGCCTGGATGTTACTGGACTCTTCGTTTTCTGCTCGTGATTCAAGACCTTTGTCGTGTTGTCCCAACCATCCCGTGTTTCTAAGTGAGAATCGGAAAATCTCTTCACTTTTCAGTATTTCCTGCTAATTTTTTTCATTATTCAATGAAAAGATCATTAATTTAAACTGAATACTTCATATTTATTCTCAATATTGCTTTGAAAAAAGTCTAAGTAAACAAGAAATTACAAGACAAATGTTGAATTAATAAAACACATAGTAAATTTCGGACGCCACTGTCCCGGGGGTACGCTTGGGTAATAAGTACCGGGGAAGGTCGTCAGACTGAATTTTTCAAAAAGACCCCACATCGTTCAGTTTTTCAAATCCATTCCGTATTATGCCATTGGCCGGACCCATTTGGATACGTACAGAAAGCACCATGTATATCGACAGTTAATTTTCCGAACTATGAACYCGAATAATAAATAAACAAATTCGTGTAAAGAAGTGGTTGCTCGAGCACTTCCTTCTGAGATTTCGTACCCCGAGCCTTCGTTTTACTTGGCCAGCGCCGTCGACAAAAAAGCAAAGGCTCAAGGTACGAGACTGTTCGTCCTGAATGATCGTCCGATCTGCCGATGAGCAGCGGTTTTCAAAATAATCTAATTGCCTCTTTCGCTATGACGTCACCATGACGTCAGATGAATGGTTCGACTATCGCGTTCCCTCGAAATCTCGACTTACGTTTTCAAAGTCAACAGCGAAGAGCTGCTCTTATTTTATATGAGGATTTGAAGATAATTTCCGTGGCTCCATTCTCCGTTAGCAACATTTTTAGGAACACACTCGCTTTCAAAAAACCTTTGTCGTGTTCTCCCAACCATGGTCAACCATCTCCCGTGTTTCTAAGTGAGAATCGGAATGTCTCTTCTATAAATCCTTCTTTTCAGTATATTTCCTGCTAATTTTTCGCATTTTTCAATGAAAAAATCATTAATTCAAATACTTTATATCTATTCTCAATATTGGTTTGATAAAGGTCTAGGTAAACACGAAATTAGAAGACAAATATTGAATTAATGAAGACGTCACAAGTGGTCCGAGTCCATTAAAGTTTTCCAAAAATAAGCCTCCGGGACGAAATGAAACTTAGGTACTTAGGAATCGAAAAAGGAGAGAAAATGAAATCCGAAAACAAAGAATCCCAAACAAGAACGAAACGTTGCGTAACAATTGATACGACAAGGGCACGCCTTATCAGCACTTTTAATTTCAAGTAAATCTCAAAAGTCTTCCATGAACTATTCTTGAACTGAGAGCATCATGTTCTTCTTAATAATATTATTGTTGTTGAATAATAAAAACAATAACGCAGTATAAATCTCGGCCATTATGCTGTTTTTCTTGAAACCTGGTTCAATTCTTGTTTTCCATTCCTCGATTATTCCTCAGAATTATATTTTTGGCAAACGTATGGAATTTTTAGACCACTTCTGTGAGATTTTCAATACAATTGTGAAATTTGTTTACCTAATAATTTACTAAAGCAATTTCGATAGTAAAACCGACCGTGTCAGGTTTAAATTATTTAACAATAAGAAAACCATTCTCCATTAGAAACACACGTAGGATTGTTAGGAAAACACTCGAGATCACTCGCTTTCAGCACAACAGCTTTGTCGTTTTCTCCCAGCCATCCCGTGTTCCTAAGTGAGAATCGGAAAATCTCTTCTATAAATACGTCACTTTTCAATATCTCCTGCTAATTCAGTTTCGAATTTTTCAATGAAGCAATTTCTAAATTAAAATTAATTCAAAATATTTTATATTTATTCTCAATATTGGCTTGAAAAAGGTTTAGGTAAACACGAAATTATAATTAGAAGACAAATATTGAACAAAGAAAGATGTCACAAGTGGTCCGAGTCCATTAAAGCTTTGCTAAAATAAATCTCAGAAATGAAATGAAATTTACTTAATCGAAAAAGGAGAGAAAAAGAAATCCGAAAAACAACAACGACAACTTCAAACAAAAACAAAACTATGCGTAAAAACTGATACAAGGGACTACTGGGCCTTCAAGGCGATAAACTGATTGAAATACATTATAATATTTTCCTATTTTATATTAAATTATTGGTATAGCCTTTTTATTATATTTCTGAAAAAAAAAATGAAAAAACAAAACAAAACAAAACAAAACAAAACAAAACAAAACAAAACAAAACAAAACAAAACAAAACAAAACAAAACAAAACAAAACAAAGAGCAGAGCAGAGCAGAGCAGAGCA